AGCATTTCAAGCTCTTCGCACTCACGTATTTCGGCCTCTCTCTTCTTATTGCGGCAAATACGTCTCGCTTCCCTCTTCAGATCGCTATGTATCGTGCGAATATCTATAGAAATTATCAGGGTTTGAAAAACTGTTAGCACAGCGGCAACAGCCAAGCATTTGCTTTTTTATAAATTGTTGTTGCTTTGCTAGCCGGCAATTACAAGTACCTGATGAAGATCTTGCAGAAGCATTGAGCTTAGCCGACGACGCTTTAAAGGAATTTGAAGAAATGCGATAAGATGCAGAAAAAAACTTTCATTTGCTTTTCGAACACGTAGAAGAAGTATGCACCAACCTAGGTACAGAAATCAAAGTACCGCGATACAGCAGTCGCCAAAAGAATCGCTTTAATGTGAAAACCGGAGACGCCGACGCTTACTATCGCATTGCTTTTACATTCCCTTCCTTGATACATATATTGCTCATTTGAAAAGCCGGTTCCTAAACCATAAATCAGTTTTAAATAATTTTAGGGTTTTGTTTCCAAAGATGGTTTTAACGAAAAAAAAACTGAAGAATTGTTTGCTTTCTCTGAAAAAGTAATCGACTGCTCGAAACAAAACTTTCTTCTGGAGGTAAAAATGTGGAAAAAATGAGTTTCACGCGAACATTTTCGAAATGCTCTCGAAGTATTACAAGTAGCTAATACAACGTCTTTTGGGAATGTTTTTAAGATCTTACGTATATTGGCACTTTTGCCCGTTTCAATAGCCACACCTGAACGAAGCTTTTCATGCCTGAAAGGAATTAAAACCTACTTGGGAAATACAACATGTCAAGAAAGGCTCAACGGTCTAGCATCTATGAATATTCTTTTTTCTTTGGGATGTGTAAAAACGTACACGAAAATATGGAACCGTGGATGTAATCTATCATTTTGAAGAAATGGTGGGCATGGAAAGAGGATAAAACTTCTTTAGTGCTGTTTCGTTCCCATTTTTCTCCATTTTGATTGCTGTTTTTCTTCAATTAAGAGAAGTTTTTTTTGGGTGTACTACATAGACTCAGTAGCCGACAGTCGGTAGCCAGTTGCCGTACATTATGCGAATTTTAGTAAATGTTTGCACATCGGCTATCAGTCGCCATACATAATAGGGCCACAAGTAAAAAGAAATTAAATTGTCAAAACTTGTCAATATGTCGCGCTGCTATTTTAGCGAACACTACTGTACATACTTTTTGATAGTCAAATACATTCATTAAACATTATTCCCCTTGGTTTTTGTAGCACTCTTTTAAGACAGAAGATGATGCTGGGCCATCAGACGAAATTTGTAAATCTGAAAGCGAATTTGAAATGGACGATGAAGAATATGACTATATTGGGGATACTGAACAAAAAAGATCCGAAAGAAAATTTGTAATTGAGTTAATTAAGGTCTACCAATCATTGCCACCACTCTGGGATATAACCAACAAGGATTATCATAATCGCGCAGTAAAAAATAAAAAATACGATATATTACTCGCGAAATACAGGGAGAGGTATCCAGATGCTGATCGAGACGATGTTAAGAGAAGGATAAATAGCCTTCGGTCAAACTTCCGCAGAGAATCAAAACGACAAACAACAAACCTATTTTATTACGATGCAATGAGTTTTCTACTAAGCAATTATGAGGTAATTTTAAATCCAAGCTAAGCAATTTTCAGCTCAATTAATTCGTAAAAAAAATTTTTTTTTGTTGAGCGGAAAAGATGTTTGGCCTAAAAATAAGCTGTGCAAAATTGTATTCCAATATGATAACACTAAGTACTTCCACGTTGAAGTTGAAAATTTAGAAAACCCTACCTGTGGACTTTTGACAAAACATCTTCTTTGCTTTCTGTAGGTTGGAATTTAGATTTAATTTTAAGGAGCTTCCAAATGAAGATTTAAAATTTTTATTTAACTTTCATTAAGATATCATCCTAAACTACTATTAACGATAAAAATTAAAAATATCATATGAGAACTCAGTTAATTATTGTTTTGAAAAGAAAATGACCTCACTCGAGAGAAGTTGTTCTGTTAAATATCCATATATACAGCGGCTGCCATAAATAAGTAAACAGACTAGTATTTTGAACTCAAGTCCATATTTTTCAAGTTTTATTTAGATAAACATAAAATTAGAAAATACGGGATTTTAGCTACAATAAGAGCTGCATAAGTTAAAATTAAAAAGTTGCTTCCACTAACTAATGGCGGTTTGAATAAAAAATACAAGAATTCAGTGTGTGAAAAATAAGTAAACACTTAAGTTAATGGCCGCAGTGACCGCCATTATTTCGCGACATTCTTGCTAAACGAGTCGGCATGGAAAGTACATATTTTCTACACATTTCTGGGGTAAAAGACGGCCAGATCTCCAAAATTAAATCCTTCAGTTCAGCCAGATTTCGAGGACCCCTTTCACTTACTTGAGCTTTCAGCCACGCCCACGCGTTTTCAATTGGTGACAGGTCAGGGCTTTGCGGAGGCCACTCCAAAGCATTAACATTAGCATCAGCTATATATTTTGTAACAATTTTGGCCTTGTGAATAGGTGCGTTGTCCTGTTGTAGAACGAAATCCTCTCCTATTAGACGCTTACCTTCAGGAATAATCACGTCTTTCAGCAAGTTAAGGTAAACTTGGGAATTAGTTTTGCCTTCGAGTACCCAAATAGTGGTACCTACTCCATAAGCAGAAATGCATCCCCAAACCATCAAGCCTTTATCGCCGGACTTAAGAGTAGGTTTTGTGCACTTGAAGGACAACGCTTCATCACTATATTTCAATCGAATCATGGATTCATCCGTCCATAGTATTTTGTGCCAAAAAACTTTCGGGCTTTAAGACATGATCTGAATAAAACTTCATCCTCTTTTAGAGATTTATTTTGCTTATGAACGGAATTTTCCGAATAACTCTCCCATGCTTTCCGTCTTCATGCAGCCTTCTGCGAATAGTGGAGAGAGATGGTGCTGTTTTACCTTCTGATACGAGCTTGGAGTAAATTTTCGGAGCAGAAAGCATTGGGTCTGCTGCTGACATGTTTTTTATTCGAGTATCTAGCTTTTTTGTAGTAATTTTCGGGCGTCCCTGGGAATATCTGCGATCAACGCGTCCATCGTTCTTGAAGGTTTTAATAACCTTGAATATTGCCGCCGATGTTTTATTAAAAGTTTTGGCAATACTTCTGTAAGTTTCCCCTTTATTGTGAAGATTAATTATAGCTTTTCGCTCTCCTGTACTTAAACGCGCACAATTTGCCATTATTTTAAATAAAAATTTGTGTTTAACTGAAAAAAGGATGTTTCGAAGGATTTTGTAATATAACCGAAAAAATACAAGAATTTTATACTTACAATGTAAAACATATACCCCTTGCGTTTCTAACTCGACGTCTAGCAAAAGCTGCACTTTATTTCACTTTTATTCAAACAAATTATGACAAATTGCACTTGTTTACTTAGTTTTGGAGCATCCGAAAACTAGGTTTGCAACAAACTTTGCGAATAAAAAACAAAAATGAGCAAAAATAATTTCGATTTTCACGAGTTATGACGGTAAACAACGTAACTTCTTTGTGAAAATAAAATTTTGGAAAGTGGACTACTACGTTTACAGTTATTACCAGAAACGCTAACGTGCTGACTTTGTTTACTTATCTATGGCACCCGCTGTATGCATTCCGGAAAAAAAGTTTTTAACAACAAAATGGTTGAAAACCGTAAATTTTACGGTCATTTGCTTTGTAAAATAACTCACAGAATCTGAATATGAGGTCAAAAATAAAAAAGAATAGGTTTTAAGAATTTGCGAAATTATTGTTTTTTTTCACATTGAGAAAACAGAATTTTAAATTTTTTTCCAAAAATGTCCGGTTTTGATTATCACAAAAAGCTCTCCACCAGATTAAAGGTCTTCGAAATCCCTATAAACTTCCTATACAATGGGCATCATGCATAAAAAATACCTAAGCTCCGATTCGATTTTCAGTACAAATTCTTGAGTTTTAATTCACTTGATCAATGCGAATATTGAGTCTGACCTTAAGCTCACTTTTTATACATGAGGCCCATTTTAAGCCGCATCGATATTCTACTGTGACTTACACCTAAAAGCCGAAAATTTGTTGTTCTTATTTTTATCCTATATTAAAGCTTATTTAAGTTAAAAGTATATAGATCCAAATCTTTTGCAAATCGGTTTGAAAATAGAAAAGTTATAGCAAATTTAGTAAATGAGAATGGATTCAAGCAACGTATCGATTTGTACAGCACATTTGATAGTAAAATCAATATGAATATCATTTCCATTGGCATGATTATGCACATCGCAATTAGAAAAACAGCTGACAATAGTTTTGTTTTATTAAGCAATACTTTGTTATGTTTTGTAACAATTGTTACGAATTATCATGCCTTGGCTGGCAAAAAAGCTGATAAAATAAGATAAATCAGGGTTGTGCACTCACACAAATTTTCTAATTTTTTACACTTACTTACATTGTAAATAATTAGTGGAATTCGCGCTTCTGTGTATTTGCTGTATCCAGCATAAGTGTAACTGGTCGAGCGTGTGGTTGTTGTTGCATGTGTATTTGATGTACCGCTAGCAACAACAAATCACATGCTCATGCACTTACAATTACACAACATACAACGAATACACAGAAGAGCGAATTCCCCTATTGTAAAATACTGTAAATTACTGTAAAATGTTGTAAACAATTGCACAATAATCAAACAATTGTAAATTGTAAATTATTTACATTGTTTACAATTATTTACAATAATTTACAAGTAAAGAATTATTGTAAATAATGTAAACTAGTTTATTACTACTCCATGGTCTAAAAAATTTGCGTATTTCTTTATTCTAAAAACAACATTCATTACTTTTGGTAGTTAACCTTAACTTGGTATTTGGGGGACGATCGTACTCTACTCAATACGCCATGCGTTAAGCAATCCTCTTGCTAGGGTCTGACCTTGAGACTTATTTATTGTTATTGCGAACGCTACAATAATTTTAAATTGGCGACGTTTAAATACAAAAGCAAGCAAGAATTCGCTGGGCTGTTAATTAAATGGGATAGTATAATTCGAATCACATGTTTAAAGTCCATTAACTAACCCTTTATATGTACATTATTAGCGTGGGCCGAAAATCCGCTTTCTTAGAATTTTGATTGGTAAATAGCAAAAATATGGTTCATTACGCTCTAAAATAAATCTGTGTGAAATGTGAAAATTTTTGGTCTATATCCTAGGCTCGCCCATGTTCAAGTACAAAAAAAAATTTTTTTAGCTAACTTCGATTTTCTACGAAAAAGGTCCATATACCAAATTATGTAGGACTAATACTTTCGAAGACTATTGCAATTTTAGTAAAATAAAAAACGTGTGTAACACCGTACACATGATAGAAGTGAAACTTCTTAAAAAAGGTGTGAGGTACCTACTCACGAAATTGGATGTGTAAACATATGTTATATGATTGAGTTACATACATAGGTTTGGTTAGAAATCAAACCATAATTTCATTTCATCTTATTAACTTTCTGATATACATATAATTTATTTATTCATTTTCCGGTAACGCCACCTTATATGAATTCACGCGTCTAGCATCCATAGGACCGGGTTGTAATGGATGTAATTGTATGTTTAACAAATAAATGAAAATGTTTATAATGCAATCAATAGATCCTTACGAAATCGTCATTACCAAGACACTAAGTAACGTACGCACTTTTGTTTGCAAAATGCATTTATTTAAGTTGAAAGAAGACAAATTCCTTTGTTCGGCATTTATTCTTACGCGCTTTCTATCTTCCAAGACGAATTCGTATATTCTTATCACGAATTCATATATTCATGTTGTAGCAAGAGTATAAAAACATTAAATTACCTTATAAATTAAAAGCATAAGTATCACATGTATGCGTAGTCCAATTCACGAAATCATTTCATCGATCTGCGTGCGGTATCTAAGTGCGGTATCCCTGCATTTTGTAAAAGCCATAAAGAAGCATAAACTGTATGAAAAAATGAAAGGCCGAAGTATACATGCCTTCTATAATTTTGACTTATATGTAATTTGGCAAGTCTTTTTGTAAACAACAAAAAATACACATTTTCATTTCTTTGCCAGCTTGGGAAATATAGGCTTATTTTTACTTAAATGTGATATAAACCTCATTAAAATGTTCTGTAATGTCTTGTTTTTAAGTTTGTTATCATAGTGCTTTGTATTTTTATTGTCCACTTTACGTGAGTTGCTTCTATTTAAAAAGTTCTAGTACAAAGAATTTCTTTGTTTTGAATTTGTTTGTTTATTGTTTTTAATTTCTAAAATTCATGTACGTGAATGGCAGAGTTGCCGCTTTCCTCCTTTTCGGTGGGTTTTTATATTAAAAAGGCATCAAAATGGGAAAAAACCTCCTTGGTATCTCTGCATCTGTTAAACTTTTTATGGGAAGATGTATGAAAATCCAACTTGCTATAATTTCATATGCTTAACAGTACCACAACAGTATGCTTACAGTATCTCACCATAATTTTTTATATGAAAAAATGTATTATATGCATCCCACTGAATCATTGAATTCCTCATTGGAACATGTAGTACCGCTATTTTATCGTATC